TTTAGGTTCCGTAGGGTAGGGGCCATTGATGGGGGGGAGTGCGCACCTGTGAGGGGTCCGAAGTTGCAAACTATTCGCAAATGTAGAGGGGTCCGAAGTACGCACAAGACTCGTCCTACGAAACAAGCGACGGTGTCGTGACTGTAGCAATTGCATTGGCGGGGCAGGCAGTGTGGCAGGGTACTCACCTGTTAACTTGTTATTACTTGTTAGTTGATGCAGACACAGAAACACTGCATAGCCAGCAAAACAGAACACTGCAAATGGGCAAATGACAGGAAACCACACACGCACACTGCAACAGGGAGGAATGGACAAAATGCCAACTTAAAGACTTTTAAGTTAAGTTACTTAACTGATGATGAGAAGATGAACTACAACTTCTAGAAGTTGTAGTTCATAGTTCTTACTTTGTTCTAAGTACAACCGAACATCGAAAGATAAACTGCGAAATTGCGAACTTTGCAGTCAGTGGCAACTCCGCCTAAATTTCCTAATCCTCTGCATCTCCCCGTGCAAAAGTCTCACCCTCTTCCTCTACGACCCCTTCCTCTTTCTCCTCCCCTTCTTCCCCCTCCCCTTCCTCTTCCTCCTCGCCTTCCTCCTCCTCCTCGTCTTCCTCCTCCTCCTCCTCGTGCTCAGTTCCCTCCTCTACACTCCGCGGTTCTCTGTTGATGGCATCATGATCTTCATCATCCCCTTCCTCTGATGAATTTGAAGACGATGAACATGCTTCCGTGCCGTCATCGTCGATGATGTCGTCCCTCTTTCTTGTTTTTGCTGCTGTTTTTTTCTTTCCAGTGGTTTTCTTTTTTCTCGATGCTTCCAACGCTGCCTTTTTCTTCTCAGCTCGCATTGCTTCTTTTCTTGCTGCGACCTCTTTGTTGGTCGGCCGCCCTCTCCTCCGTTTCTCCGGAGGTGCAATGACCTCCTCCGCAGCACGTTTACCGTCACGACGACACTCATCACCGCACCGCACTTTACGTTGCATGCTGCTTCCGCCTTCCTTTCGACCCTCCACCCAATCCCCCGTCTCTCGAGCCCGCAGCTCAAACTCCCGGTCCTCCTTGTTCAGGTGCTGGGCGCTGATGGCCCGACAACCTTCGCAAGGCACGCTCCAGCTCCCTCCCCGGTCGAGTGTTGAAGTGCCAGTCATTCGTGTACTTATCTATGTGCGCAAGGCCCTCCTCCTGGTCCATTGCATTGTCCACCTCGTTATTGCGGAACCACCTCCTTGCCATAGGCACTTCCTCACCGTCGCCGTCGTCCTTCGACTCGTCTTCCTCCTCCGATGCGTCATTCCCGCCACTCGGTGTGCTGTTCGTCGCCCGTTTCACCCAATCATTGTAAAATTGCTCTGCCTCCTCCTTCAACTCGGCATCAGACATTTCCTCCACCCACGGAATGTGGACATCATCCACACCACGACCGTGCTCTTGCCTCCACTGCAGGTGGAGGTTCCAATTGTTGTAGACGAGCTTTGATAGGCGGGCGGGCATAATCTTCGTCCTCCTTTTGCCGAAAACGAGCTCATGCAGACTCCGGTTGCGTTCGCATGCCGCAGAAGAGCTTGCCTGGCCCAACAGTCTGATCGCTTGGGGCTGCAAAAGATGTAGCCGCGAGCCAAGCATCCCACCACATCGCCGGGGTCTTGGTGCGTGCTGCGCGCAAAGCTTCCTCTGATTGCAAGGCCCCCCTTAAATTCACCCACTTGTCATCCTGCCAGCTCACGTCATCGAACATCTCGTCCGTGCACCAGGTGTACAACCATGTGTTGAACCCGGCTCGAATCTCGGTGTCTTTGAAGGAGCCCTGCGATGTGTACTCCGGGTCCAAGAAGGCTGCTGCACAGTGCAACTCTGAAGTCGTGAACGCCCATCGATCCATGAGGATCGACTCGACCTCTGCCTTCTTGAAGTCTGTCAAGATGTCCAACTTGCGAATCGACTCCACCACACCATCCATTCGATGATAAACCTTGGCGATTGTTGCGCCCGGACCATCGACGAGCTTCAGTAGCGTTACGATGGGGTCCGTGGCCCTCAAGGCCTTGTCCACCCGCTCCCAAAAGTCGCCATCCAAGATAGTCACTGTCACCTCCTCGAATTGAGAACGCAAGTGGGGCGGCACTATGGAGGAGACCCACCCGCTGGCAGCCACAGTCAATTTCAGGTTGTTTCTCCTGTCCCACAACGACTGCAACATGATGATGTTGGTCGCGAATGGAGTGACGCCCGGCCTCTTAATCTGCACACCACCCGATTTGGTCAGGAAGAGTGCTTGAACCTTGTCGTGGTTCATCACGAACTTCCCCAACACATTCCCCCTCTTCACAGTCCCCGCAAACCACGGAATGCGCTTGTCCATGTCCTCCAATGCGAGGTCAAGGGCATGTGCCGTGCAACCCACCCGGAATATCCACGAGTATTTTTTCTCCACCAACTTCCCGGCCTTCACACAAACCCAGGCATTATCCATGATCACCCCAACCACGCTTCTTGGGCCAATCTCCTCTTCAAAAACTTTTGATCTTGAATTCGTGATAAGAAGGCGCCGCTTATACATTGAGTTTCGCCCTTCACTAACCATTTTGTGTTTTTCCAATTTCGTACTTTGCGCAATGCTTTATGAGGCCCAGTAGAAGAGGGCAATTCATAGATAGCAATCGTAGCGGTGAGTATTTTGTAGTACGCACTGGCGTCTTTGCCCTTTCTCGCTACGCACACCGACTTCCAAAAGACGGTGCGGATGGGAGAGGACACCATGACGTTTACGTGTGGTCTTCCCCGCCGGTCAGACCACCCATCTAGTTGCACCATACAGCCTGTGCGAGCCCACTTCTTCGGCAATCTCCCCACGTCCTCGACCGCCCTCTGGTGTTGTCCGTTCAATTGGCCATTGCGCGCCGCCTCTCTCGAGTGCAGTCTCCATGATGGGTGGGCCTCTCGTATGGCGTTGACCATGTCGTTGAAGAACTCGTTCTCAACCATGTTGAATGGTTGGTTCGTGCACGTCATCCAGCGGTCTACTCTTCTTGACGTCTGCTCGTTCTTTGTGACGACGCTGTCGGTCTCCTCCAACACCATCTGTCGCATCCGTGCAGCAGGCGCAGCAGATGCACTTGAGCGTTGCACCGTGATACCTGGCCCGCTGTCGCCCACCCCTTCGTCACAAGCGTCGCCGCCGCTTTGCCACAAGCGCCACCCACCCCTTCGACCAAACCCCCGCCCATAGAAGCAGCCACCAAACTGGTGACAGCAGGTAGGGCATTGGCACCATCCCTCGGCATTCCCACTTCTATCCTTGCCTGCCGCAGTCCTTCCTTCGTTCGCAATGTTTCCTCTGCGGTCAATGTTTTCGTTGATTTCTCAACTGCGCAAATCCCTTTCGTGAAATGTTCCTTCAGGCGATTGAGATTGCCCGAAAATTTTAGATCGCAGTAATGGCAGAGCCACCGCTTTGCCCCCTTCGAAGGATCCTTACCAGTGGGGCCAAGGACTTCAAAATGGCGCTTGACAAGGCTGGCTTCATGCTTGCGGCTCAACATAACAACCTGCATGCAGCAATAATAGAGCCAGAATATCAGCCCCTCTCCACATGTGCACCCTGTACTCAGCCGCGCTCCCGACTTCGAGAGAGAGACCAGAGATGGAGGAGAAATGGAGGAGAAATGGAGGAGATGGAGGAGAGAGGGAGGAGAGAGGGAGGAGACATGGAGGAGAGATGGAGGAGAGAGGGAGGAGAGAGGGAGGAGATATGGAGGAGAAATGTAGGAGAGATGGAGGAGAGAGGGAGGAGATATGGAGGAGAAATGGAGGAGAGATGGAGGAGAGAGGGAGGAGAGACGGGTGTAATAGTAGGAAAGATGGAGGAGAAATAAACGAGA